GCATTCTGCTGCATACATTTCAACTAAGCCAATTATCGTTATTTGGTTCCAAATTATGACTGTCAACTACTCCCTCCGTCCCAAAATAAGTGTCTCAACCTTAGTACAGCTTTGCACTAGAGTTACTACAAAGTTGAGACACTTATTTTAGGACAGAGGGAGTATATTATATTTTGTAGTAGTATGTATGTGACAGTTGGTATTGGCAATTCGGCATCTAACCATTAAAAACAATTAAGAAATTATCGACTGCCCAAGCTCATAAGCTGTGGGTTGTGATTGGTTATAGCACAAACATGGTTCTTAGGATTCTTGGGTCGTGCTTCACCGTGGTTCTCACCATATTCCAGTCAAACTGTCAGTGTCCTTTTTTTACCTGGATTTTTGTTCAACTGCTCTAAGCCCATCTTTTGAAGTCATCTACTGCACTAAAAGGCTTACAATTGCATGCACCTGCTCTAAACGCCTCTTTTAAAGTCATTCACTGAAGTAAAAATTCTTACAATTGCATATAGTTTGTTTGTCAGATTTTTAATATGCAAGATCAAAATCATTTTTTTAGGATAAACATGCCAGGCCTAGCAGATAAACCAGGTTGCATATTCGGACTGAAATTTCAGTAGTTTACCTTGTTATGTATTTATGAAATGGCACTGTTCTTGATTGTTAGTTTACAAGCCAGGTAATTGTGTGATTTCTGTGATCCCTTGCCCTTGTAGATTTTATAGAATAATATTACTTCAATACATGATTCTCTCGTCAATAACGTAGATAGCGATTGAACATTGTGCTGTTTTTATGGTCCCAGGTGGCTGCCATGGAGCAAGGAAAAATTACAAAACTCTTCCCCAACTACTTGTTGCATGAATTTACTGGCTTATCAGGTGGAAGAATATGGAAAGGGGAACATGATCTACTGTTACTGAAAGCATTAATAAAGTATGCATCCATTTCATATGTCCTGTTTGTTACCATAAGTACTATTCAGTATTCTATATGCCTCATGTAACTAGCCAATTGACCTGAGCAAGTTTTGCGACTAGATTGATTCTTTAAGAACTATGGATTTTGCCTCAATATTTTAAATGTTTTAAGTAAAGTATATATGGCAAGCACAAAAGGCAGTAATACACGTACCATAAAAAACCTACTACCTCTGTAAAGTAATATAAGACGTTTTACACACTTGTGTGTCTAAAATGTCTTATATTAGTTTACAGAGGGAGTACTTCATTGGTATATTTTTGTACTAATTGGCCAATTTGCTTGTATAATTATTTTCATGTAAAGAACATAATCAGTCATTGGTGCAGTTGGCTTGCGTACTTAACTTCATGCTACCCAGAGAGAGAGAGGGTTTGAGCCCTATTTGGTTACACTAGAGCATTTTTTCTCCTTTCTCAAATCTTATACTCCCTCCGTTCGGAATTACTTGTCTCGGAAATGAATGTATCTAGAACTAAAATACATCTAGATACATTCATTTCCGAGACAAGTAATTCCGAACGGAGGGAGTAGGAATGTAATTCTTTTTTCTCCTGGATTAAGAATTAAAGTATGAATTTTGCGCCCCTCGAAGTGAATGGTGTGTTTTAATATATTCATACTGCTTTGCTTCTGTTTTAATTAATGAAAAATGCATTATTCATCTTCTTTTTGTTTCTTTTTTGCACAAACATAGCTGGTGTACAATATAGCATCTATGGTACTGATTTTGGTTTTTCTTTCATTAGGCACGGGTATGCCAGGTGGCAATACATATCAGATGACAGAGATAACGGGCTATTTGAAACTGCTCGACGGGAGCTTAATCTTCCTTCTGCTAATGAATTGATTAGTTCTCAGTCAAACAATGAGGCAAATGTTAGTGAGCGCACACATCAATTTCCTAACTAAAATCAGAAGGCTGTGAGCCATTTGATTTATTTTAATTGCATGCTTTTTCCAGGGAAATCTGGAAAGCACACAGGAAGTGCAGGTGAACCCAACGAGCTTATCTCAATACAGGGACATCCAGAGAAAGATTGTTGAGTTTATCAGAAAGAGATACCATATTCTGGAAAAATGCTTGGACCTTGAATATGCCGTGGTATGGCGCATGATCTCTGCCGTAAACATACACTGGGACTAATCTTTGTTGTGCAGCAATTATTGAAGTCATATCTTTTGGTTTTGCAGATAAAAACAAATACTCCTGTTCCTGATGATCTTACTGAACAAAATATTCCTATGGGACATAGCCCAGCTGTTCCAGATATCAGTGAAGTGTTGAGAGAACTTCCCCCTCTTGTACCAATTTGTAAGTGATCTTTCTCTCTTGATTTTCTTATCTATGCAGATATAGCTGTGTTTGCACACCTGTCTTTGGTTATCACATGTTTCTAAGGTTTGTGTTCTTGGACTAGCCTGGGATCTTAGCAGTAGGTAGTTCTCTCGGTGGACTTGTAAATTGTATTTGACAGTTCGGTGCTCTTGCTAGCGTTCGTAATTTTTAGCCTTGTATCATCACTGGATTTGTGGCAACTCCTTAACTCTGTTTACCTCTTTTGGTTCCCCTGTCTATTGTTGCCATACAGCTATAGTATGTGGTGATACTTAAATATATGCCATTTTATTTTACTGTATATTCCGTGAGTTAATGTCCATTGCTTATTCATTAAGTGTGTCCCTCTTTCCAGCTGCCAAAGAAGTGGCTTCTGATGGCTCAACTGACCAGGCACACCTTTCCCATCTTTACAACAAGGTACCTAATGAACCAAGTGTTCATGAGCTAACGACCTAACATGCCTATTCCTCTTCCGAAGTGTATGTATAGTTTCCTTGACTGACCGTTGTCTTTATGCTTGCAGATGTGCGGTGTGCTTGAAGACAGCGGCCCACGTGCACTCAATTCGTTCTGTGGTGACAAGGCAGCCTCTGCGAGTCTAGCCAACAGCCTCCATCAGTTCGAGAAAGTATGCGAGGACGTTGATCGGGTCTTGAGAGTCCAAGAGAACGGTGCTGCTACCCCCAAAGAGCAAGTGGTAGATGCCAGTGTCGAAGAAGCCAAGCCTCCACAAGATGCAGGCGTTGCGGCGGCAAACGGTGTCGGGCCTTCAACTGTAAAGCCGGAGGACAAAATGGAAATCGATGGTTGATATTTAGGGATAACTGTATCGGACCCCCTCTTCAGTTTAGTTGCTAAACTGGTTCTAGTGTACCTTGTTGTAACTGAAAGCTAGGCACCAGTAGTCAGTACAAATGATTTTACCTATACCAAATTTTCCTGTCCCGTATGCTCGCGTTGTTTTATTGAGAGGCTACCGTTGTTTATGGTGTACTCTGTTGCTCGTCAGTTTTTTTATATTTGAATATGCTCTGTTCCCTCCACTCACGCAATCCAAAGAGCACAACTCTACTCGCGCTCTTCAGATTGCAGGATTGTGGCAAGGGAAAAACAATTCTTATCGTTTTCGAGAACCTTTAGCAATGCAAATACGTACAACCTCTAGTGATCTAAAACATCTCCTATTAGTTTTGGGAGTAAGTTTAGGAAGTACTCTACTCCCTTGGTCCCAAAATGTAAGATAATTTTTGACATTATGATAGTGTAAAAAATGGTCTTATATATTGGGATGGAGGGAGTACTACCGGGCATCTAGTTTGAGCAAATTCACGTTTGTGTTCTTTGTAGAACACGCCGTTTTAAAAGCACGTGTCTCAATATTCCGTAGTTTCAAATAAGAGATTGTTGATGTTTGTTTGTGTAAATAAATTAGTGAAATATACGTCTTAACTTTCTGTTGTTGCTTTCTGCTTCAAAGAAATTCTAACTTCGGTCAAAAAAGAGTATCATAATCTATTCCTTAGTGTTGTGGAGTGTCTTATTCGGTCGCGTGGGTGGTGTCGTCGGCTTGTATGGAGCGTGGCCTTGAGGCCGGCGGGGAAGTTGGAGCGGTGGTTTTAGAGAGTATTGCGGGGTGCTGGATTTGGTCGTGTGGGCGGTAGAGTCGTCTGGTCGGGCCTCGGGGCTGGTCGGAGTGACAGCTCTCAGTGGAGTGTTACATTGTCAACTCTGGTGCCTTGGGTGACAGATTTGTCGGCTCGCTTGGTAGGTTGGTGGGTTTTGTTGTATGGGG